GAGCCTTATATGAGCCTTATATGGGGGTACCCACCTGGTAACTACCCACCTGAAATTGTCCCTGACAATAAGGTGCACTCCTCCTCGTTGCTGGCCTGCTGACTTGCTTGATCGGCCTTTGCTGCTGTTGCTGCTGCGGCGCGAAGGAGTGAGTGTGCCTGGGAAGCACATAGGTGACATATGAGCAGCTAGGGTCAGTAATGGGCTTACTTGCCAAATCACCTTTAAGGGTAGACATAGGGGTTTCTTAGATAGTAAGTATAGTCCTGAATACCCCACATCTATTTTAAGTGATCCGGGAAATATTGATTGTCACATGCTAGAAACTTTGGGCCTGTCTGCGTTCCCACATGCAATACCCCCAAAAAGCGCACCACAGTCTTATGGCTTTTCCAGCATACTGCAACCAAGGTGAACCTCCACTTCTGTGGGCAGCGCTCTCCTCGTAAAGTGGGACAGCCTGCCGCGCGACCCTGTGAGGTCGCCAAGGCATAGGGCTTGACATCGGGAAGATTCCCTTCCGAATTCCAGGCTGCAAGAGCAATATCATATAACCCCTGGATAACTTATATCACCCCTATATAACCCTTATAAGACCCGAATATAACCCCATAGAACGCAGCTGTTTTGGAGCCTCCGTTTGGGAGCCTCCCGGACCTCGATTTGAAGCCGCACGTTTCGCACTGTACAGCACTACGACGCAACGTACAACGTTGCCTAAGAACTGCAAATTCAGTAGGTGACAGCTTTTGGAGGCAGGTCACCCAGTTTCCCCAGCTCAGAAAAAATCTGAAGATCAGTCAACCCGCCATCGAAGTAGTCAGTGATTTCCATACCCTTTAATTAAGATTTTCCCAAATCGGGTGAACAATTCCGGTATTCTTGTATCATCAAGGGTATGTTCCTTCGTTTTGGTGTATCTTGGGCTCCCAGGGTATTTCTGCCCATTTGCCTTAGGGCTCCTGAACTGTGATCCCCAGACCTGGATAAATCCTAATCCATCGCTACACCCTAAACCTGTGGATCCATGTATACAAATAATCCCTACATTGGGCCCTAAAGTCTGTAAACATTACCTACACTGGGCTATTTGGATCCCTAGGGTAATCCCTTAACCCCAAACCCTTAATCCGGAATCCTAAATCAGGCCAAGCATCATTATCTGCAACGCAGTGCTGGGTGCGTTGGAGCGTCCGGTACCTCAGAGTCGTACTGCAAGGGCCAATTTAGAATTTGGGACATATCTGGGCCCCAGCCATTAGGCAAGAAGCAGTAGTCATACGCAGCTAGGATTTTTCGACTTTAGGCCTGCAGTAGGCCGACCGTAAGCCCGTGGATAAGGCCTGTGGCAGCATTCCTGCAGGTGGCATATCTGGATGCATACGGTCACGGGACAACGGAGAAATAGAAAAGAGACATAAGGCTGAAATGGAAACTGGGTCTGTATTAGGGATCAAAAGGATAACTACCTACATTGTGGCCCAAGATTCTTTGCACAATAATGGCATCGGGTACCTCGAATAGACCTCAACATGATGTTATATGATGTTCATGATGATTTAGGCTTTGCATTTTGCTTCTCATGTGATGTGAGGTGCAGAGGTGTTGGTTTCTGTTTCTGCCGTGTGCATAGGCGATTCCCTAGGAAGGAAGTGAGCTATGGGATGTATGGCTCCAGGAAGGAATTGTCTAAGCCCAAGAATTTGTTGGGCCTCCTTTTCAGGGCGCGCCATTTGCGCCATCGGGTTGCTACTTCAGCAGTTGCGCACGTGTGAGCAAGAGAATCGTCAGGAATTCCATGGGTGTCTTGATTGTCATGTAGCACACTGCTGCCCCATGTTCTGCGTACCATCGATTCCCGCCCGCAAGGTCACTGGAAATTCTGAATTTCAGGGCTGCTCGAGTGCCCCCGTTAAGGAAGCCTCATCAAAAGATAGCCCCCCCAAGACATTCCCTTGGATGTAGACCTCGAGGTAGCCAGGATGGTTCTATCACAAAAACCCTATGGATCCATTTATACAAATAATCCCTACATTGGGCCCTAAAGTCTGTAAACATTACCTACATAGGGTTATTTGGAGTACTAGGGAAAGCTAAATACAGAAGGAAGGTACATGGATATGGCAAAACACGTGTAATTCTTTCCATTGGAAGCCTTCAGGAGGATTACCAACTCCACTTTGAGAACAGGCCCTACACTCCATGGTAGTACCCTAAACCCTAGACCTTAAAGACTCCTGGGCAGAAAAAGTACCAAATGAAATTGCATTGCCACCAGGATGAGGCGAGCACTAAGCTCCGGGGCAATATGTTCTCTATCTACTCCGCATATCCCAAGGGATCCAAATAGCCCAATGCAGGTAATATTTCCAGACTTTAGGGCCCACTGTAGGGATTATTTGTATACATGGATCCCTCCGGTATTCCTTGGGGCTTCTTAGGGGTCGCTGGTTTCCAGAAATCCCAACACTGCCGTGTTTGAAAGGGAGCGGCGCTTGGCAGCAAGCGATTAGCTTCCTCCACACTCTTGGCGGAGGCTCCGCCCAAGGGGAGTACTGTAGAGATTGGATTGAAGAGGTTTATACAGTTTAGAAGGAATATTTTGGGATGTACGGGTTTAGGGTGGAAACCTGGACAATTGCAACAAGGAAGCTTCAAATGGAAAAAGGAGAATTCTACCATAGGACCTTGAGTAGTAAGCCTAATTTCGATCCTTGAAACCTCTACGTGCTTATAGTATCATCCCGCCCCAAGCCCACTTCCAATCATTAAGCCCCCTAAACCCTAAACCATGGCCCCCTGGGATCTCGCTATGAAACCCTGACAAGAGTTGTGTTTTTGGGGTTGGGGAGGCTCAGAGGACAAGTCAAGAGCTTTTAAGTGGGGTTATAAGTTCATCAATTGGGGTTGGCCTGGTTGGTGGCCATCATCAGTCAGCGGGGCCTCCCCTACCCTACAGTAGGGCTAAAATGCGTTGTACTTCTGCTTCGTGGTTCCCAATCCTAATCAAACAAAGTATAAGGCTTTGGTCGGAGCTTGCGGGCTGCGACGTTTCTTTAAATAGATGAGTCTGCGGTGAGGAAGTACAGGCAAGGCCACCCTAAACCCCCAACCCCTAAACCCTAAACTGGAAGTAGAGTCATGGCCATGCACCACAATCATCCTCAAGGAGCCCAATACCCCTTATGCAAACCGTTGCTTTATTGTTTAAGGTTCAGGGGTTTAGGGTTTAGGGTTCGAGTCCGTGCCTCAAAAAGGGGGTTTAAGGTTTAGGGTTTGTCTTGCTATCATCTCGGGGATTGTCCGAACCATGCTCTGTTTTATCTCTTCTTTTGTCCACCTTATACATATATATATATATTTATGGGAGGGGGGTTTCCAAAATTCGGGGTATCGTTTTTGGGGTCCCTGTAATCAGGATGATCGTATTTTGGTGTCTATATTTAGGTTCCCCTATTTATGAAAGATACCACATCAAAGGGACCGTATTTTATTTACTGGGACCACCATTCGTAGCACTTCAGGTTTAGTGTTTGGGATTTTGGGTTTAGGGTCTAGGGTTCGGGGTGGGATATACACGCCCAGCGTCCATTTCATTTTCCATTGGGTTTTCCACTATCCATAGACCCTACCCTGAAGCTTAAACTCTAGACCAACCCTAAACTCTAAACCCTAACCCGGAGCCCTGCATGCGCACCAGCCAAGCGGGAGGGAAAAAATCCGGCAACCCTCTTCCTGAAACCGTAAACACCCAAAACCAGAGCCCTAGACCCCAGACCAACCCTAAACCCTAATCCGGAAAATAAACCCCAAGACCCCAAAACCATAGAACCAAAGTGTTCCTGTCAGTCTTGATTGCTACTTCGGAGCCCGAAGCATCCAAAAACTTCAACACTACCCCGACTGGCCCGGGACTCGTAAAAATGCGTAAAGACAGCAAGATATTGGGCAATCTACTTTCTTTTCTGGGTACATCAGGTACTCTAGGTCCCTAGGCACACCTTGAGCCCCTAACCTCCCAACTGAAATACCGCGGCGCCAGGAGCAAACTCGGTGTCGTACAGCGCGGCCATATCCGCCTGCGGCAGAAGCAGCCGCCACATCCCCAGCCCCTAAACCCTAAACCATTGGAACTTACTGCAGGGTTTAAGGCTGAGGGTTTGAAGAGGGTAGGAGCTTTTCAATGGATTCGGCTGTCGCCACAAGAAAGTTCGTGGGGCCTTGCAAATCTGGATTGACCTTTATAGGGGTTCAGGTGAAGTCTACGTAGAGCTTTTGCGCACCCCGAGCCTCCAAAGAGTGTGAAGTGATGTGTCGAAGAAGCCATACCCTGGGACTCTACATCTATAAATGATGCCAGCATTGGGCCCTGAAGCCCTTCAACCCTAAACCTGCATGTTTTTTAAGGGCCCTAGGCAGCTTAGGGTTTTGAGTTTAGGGCTTAAAGTTAGGGTTTAGTCTAGGGTTTAGTCTAGAGTTTTAGGGCGCAATGACTTCTGTAGGAGCTTAGGCAGGAATTAGCAGCGCAGAAATATCCTTGCTTTAAAGACATAGGGTAGTTTCCCAAAATATGGGTACCCCAATATAGAACCCAAAATACTATAGTTCTTATTATAGGGCCCCCCCAAAAAAGGTACCCCTAATTTGGGGAAACCCCCATATGGGGGTTATAAGAGCTATAGTCGAAACTCCTTAAAAGGGGTTATGTAGGGGAGTATCGTAGGGCTTATTAAGGGGGATACTGGGACTGAGCAGTTGAGAACTGTATGGGTTTAGGATTCTTAGTAAGGGACCCTTATGAGCAGCCATAGGGGTCCCTCTTGTAGTTTAGTGGGTTCAGGGTTTAGCGTTGAGGGACTTCATTAGCATTAAATTCTGTAGGAAATCTTGACTGTAGCTCATGTGAGACTTGTGAATTCTGTGGTTGGGAGACAATGAGCTCATGAGTTACTGTGACAGCAACCCTGAACAGGGACTCCCCTAGTACCCTTAATTGGGTTTAGGGTTTAGGGTTTAGGGGTTCTATGGCTGCTAATAGTAGGTACCAAGGCATGAATAGAGGGTAGTTGGCGGGTCTAGGCAGACAGAAACTGCACATAAACCCTAAGCCCTAAGCCTTTAAACAAAATAAACTAAACCGATCACCGCAATT